CCAAACGAGTACTTTAACAATATAAAGTATCCAAAGTGTAATTTAAATGTCCAACATGATTCAAATTTATCGAAGGAGACAACCATAGCATTGATAAAAACATCAATTTCATTGGGAAACAATTATGTGGACCAAAAAATAATAGATGTGATGACTAAAATATAAGTGGACAAGCACATGAATGTTTGCAACACAAACTTGACTATTTTTTTAATGGATTTTTTTTTAAATGTATAAATTAATTTAAAACAAGCACAAGTCAACAACTGATAAATGTTGAACTTCAGAATAAATTTTAAAAAAGAAAAATGAACATAAACCTATAGAACCTATTTCAATTAGGTAGAGACCTTTTTTTGCAAAGTGGCTTTTCTTAAAATATTGATTGGATGCTTTTCAAAATATGTGGTCTCCTTTTTCAATGTGGATTGGACATTCTAAAAAAAAATAGACAATAAAAAATGTCAAGAATTACCACCTAATGCAAACACTTATACACAAAAACCACCAAGACTTTTGCAAGCACTACTAAGTTGTTGTTATCAGCAAGCTACAACTTGTTCCTCTACAGCTATTGCTTGCGTCGTTCCTTTGATTCTTGTCCTTATACTCAAAGATTGTTATCACATAATATCAATAATTCTTTTGATGAGTATTGAAAGGAATTATGAGATGGTTGAAGTACAATTTCAATGGATTGAAAAGAATTGGCTGAGTTAAAAAATTCTAATGCTATAGAAACTCTATTTGTATGTATTTCTTGCTTCTAATATATCAGATAGATATGAAATACCCCAAATATCATAGAATTTCATCATCACAAAATCAAAATTTATAACATTCTGAAGCATTTTAATAATGATCAGTAAATCTAATAAAAAATAATAATGGTCAGCAAATTTATTAAGTAATCCCAACTGTGATGTATAGTTTTTGCTTGGTATTGTTTAGGGTTCACCCCCTTATGGTGTTGTTTGGTCTATAAAATATTGTACTCATCAAAAAATAGAACAAGCACATTAAAGTTAACGCACTAACCTGTCAACAAAAGAATAAGCTAGTGCTTCAGACAAAACCTTGCCCGCTGTAGTCTAACCTGTCAATGGTATTTTTTAATTTTAAAGCTGTGATTTCTACTAGATGTAAGAATTCACTTAACCGCTATACTTTCTGAAATCAACCCACCTTGGATTTTGTATAGATTCTGCAACTTTCAAACTCACAAATTCACAATGCTGGCTTGATTGAAAACTATCCACCTCTGTTTTTTTATATGGGTTTTGCATCTCCCTACCTCACAAATCTTGAAATCTTCTTGACTATATAAGGCTCTGTTTGGTAGAGTTTTTAAAGTTTAATTCTACCCCTTAGCTTGAGTGTGTTGTTTGGTTATAGTTTTAGAAAATTAATTCCACCCACTTTTCAAAACACTTTTCAAAACACTCACTTTTCAATATTATATGTCACATCACTTAATTCAAACTCTTTTTAAAACTCATAATCAAACAAATTTTTTACACTCAAATCATAATTCCAAAACTCATAAACTCAAAATATAACTCTATTTTCAAATCATAATTCTAAAGCTCTACCAAACGCAACCTAAGATTTTAATGACAACCCATCTTTAATTTTGATGTGGTTTTGTTCCCTCAATCTCACACTTGTTAATTTCTTACCCTAAACCACAAATTTTCACTTCCCGAATCTTCTAATGACAAAATACTCAAAATCTTTATTGGTAGAATTTCACCAACACCAAATCTGTTTTTTGATTTTTTCACTCAGATTTGCCGACCCACCAATATTAGATTTTCAGTTTTCTTGTTGTAAACTCAAATTTAGGAAAGGATGAATAAATAGTCTTTGGGCACATTGAACACAAATAATACAATAAAAAAATTCAAAAAGTAGTCTTTAACTTTGTAATCTCCGCCTGAGTTTGTTCACCTACCCAACAAGAAGTTCGAAGAAACATACAAAGAAAATTCAAAGTACCAACCTTTACTTGTCAAGTTCTTACGAGACAAAACTCAATAAAACCCACCAAAGATGTTGATTTTTAGAGCCGGCATTGATGGTTGGAAAGTATCATATGAAAGCTAGTGAGAGAGAATAATGAAAAATGCATGTAGGTGAAAAAGAGAGTGAAACGAAAATCTAGTGAACAAAAATCATAGAAAGAGTTCACATATGACATTGATGAGTGTTTGTTAGTGTTAAATTGGGAATTCTAGAAAAATAGAGAGATTGATGGATAATGGATTACAGATGAAATTGAGTTGGGTACCAAAGCATTTAACTCAAATTCCAATGGTAATACCTATATCTACATTCACATATATAAAAAACGAGTACGATGAGAATCGATTGAATTACCCGTAACTCTCTAGGGTTTGGTCGTCCTTCAAGATCTGCCATTGCCGACGGATCGGTGATGGCAAATCCAACACTAATGGTGATTGTTGTTGATGGGGATGTGAGTTTCAACACTAGGGTTTCTACAGGAGAAAGAAAGATAATAAAACCCTAGCTATTGCTAAGTGAGTGGTAAGAGGGGGATAAGCAAAGACAGGGAGAGAGAGGGTTTGATTTGTTTGTGTTTCCACTCTGATACTCTATATATATATATATATATAAATAAATATAATCACGCTTAATTAAAATATATATACAATCACACTTAATTAAAAAGTGTGATTAAAAAAATATATATATAATCACACTTAATTAAAAAGTGACATAAAAAATAAATATTATCACACTTAATTAAGTTAAGTGTGATTAAAATACCAATCTAATTTTTTTTATCACACTTCTAATAAAAGTGAGATATTTTCATTTATCACAGTGTAATCTTTAACTGTTTTTGTAGCAGTGACGCCAATAATCATGCCATACAATCATTTGTTATAAAAAAAAATTAATGGAGAGTTTTTTATAACTCTCATGACTCTAACGACTTCTATATAGAGGAATATAGACCACAAGGAAAGGGGTAGATTTCTACCCCTACAAGAAATTACATTTACTGATTACTTTTGCTGACTAAAACAATTTTAGTCACAAAAAAATGACATTTGCCTACCAAAAAAAAATTCGTAGCTAAAAGTTGATACTATTATCGATTAAAGTAATTTTGTTGAAAAAAATAACTTTTTGCGACCAAAAGTAATTTTATCTTTGGCGACTAAAAGTTTAGTCGCCAAAAATATATTTTTAACGACTAAAAAATATTTTAGTTAGTTTTGACAACAAAAATTATTTAGTTGTCGAATGAAATACAAAAATTTACTTTTTATCTTTGGCGACCAAAAGTTTAGTAGCCAAAAAATTTATTTTCAGCGACTAAAAAATATTTTAGTTGCTATATAGCTAGTTTTGGTTACTAAAATTATTTAGTTGTCGAATGAAATACAAAAATTTATTTTTTAAAAATTTATTTTCAGTGACTAAAAAATATTTTAGTCATTGTATAGTTAATTTTAGCTACTAAAATTATTTAGTCGCCAAATAAAAAATTAAAATTTACCTTTTATTTTTAACGACCAAAAATTTAATCGCCAAAAATATATTCTCAACGACTAAAAAATATTATAATCACCAAAGATACGAGGAAAATTTTCAGATTGGCGCCATTATTTTTATTTATTATATGTTTTTTTTGGTATGAAATCTGTTTGGAATACAAACAGGTTCTCACTCTCTCTCTCTCTCTCTCACAAAATCAAGCACCACCAAACCTTACCTCGCCTCGCCTCGCCTCGCCGCGATCCGCTCATCTTACCATCGCTCACCGCCGTGCGACGTCGCACATCGCCATCGAGATCTGAATAAGATTTGAGTCCTAGGCCGAGATCTGACCGTCGTAAGCGATCCACACATATCCGTCGCCGGCAGTGAAGACGGAGAGACTATGCCTAACCGTTGAGATCTAAATCAGATTCGATTTCGCAAGCTAAAAATCTCTTGAGCACTCAGATCTCTGTGATTTTCTGCTCCAATCAACACCTCTGTCTATAGGAGGTCAGAATTATGGGTTTTGTTGTTTTTGACATTTGAGTCATAGGAAAAGGCGAACTTGGTCATTTTGTGTATAGAAATTAGAGTAGTTTTTAGGGAAATTTGTGTTTGTTGTGAGTTATGATTGATGGGTTTTTTTTTTTTTTTTGGGCTTCAATTTGATGCTGTTAAGTGCAGTAATTTGATGATTCAGAGCTTGGTTTAATTGTTTGGGATAAAATTTTTGTGTGTTCTTGAGGTGTGATACAGGGGAGCTGTTTTTCTTAGAATTTGATTATGTTGAAGAAGAAAAATTGTTCATTTAAGGGTTGGAATTAGGTTTTTGGGGATTATGTTTTTGTGTTCTTTGGGGTAAGACAAATTGGTATTGCTCTTCTTTTTTGGTCTTTAGAGCTGTTTTTGTGTTCATTAAAATATTAAGGCAATAACTTATTGGTGGTATAAGATACATATCAAGGGTTGGGCAGGAATAAAAATTTCTGCTGTGGAGGTGGTTGAAAGGAAATCAGAATAGCAATCTTGTTTAGCCCAGGAATCCGGAGATGGGGTGATTCTTGTTCTTATATCTACTTGCTCGAAAGAAAAATGAAGTCTGTCCAAGAGGTAAGTTCAACCTAATGACGACTGTTCAAAATGCCAGTTCAGATTCAGACTAACTTGTTGCCATTGTTATAGCGTCATCTCTTGAGCGGTTTATCTTCAACTTCTGAGATATACTTAAGTTCAATTTTGATCTTTCTGGAGAAGCCGGCTCTAGCAGCTCCATGTTTTGCTCACAGGGATATTGTCACTAGACGATACCTTCACACCTTCTTACCTCTCCTATAAATATTTCCTAATTATCAAGTGTTTTCTCATTCTCTCTTATTTTTCTCTATCTCAGAGCTTATAGGCATGATGTATGTAAAGGGTTCCATCTTGCTTTGAAACAAAACCTTAAGAAGGTCACACTAAAATAGAACCTGATGTTGTCCATGGTCAAAGGAAAGGATATCTTAGTTTTCTTCTGAATTTATAGCTACAATTCCAGTTTCCCATCCCATCTTGGTAGAATCTACACCCTGTATATAACTTCTTTGATGATTTGTTTTTTGTCTAGATTAAACTAAATTTGTACGTATTTGTCTTTAGTTTTTGATAAGTTCATTGGAATTTGTTTGTTTATCATTATATATTGATTGGATGTTGTTATGGACAAACACAATAATGGTGATGCTCCAATGTCTAAAAATATGGGTTCCATTCACAAGGTCTAAGTTGCAGAAGTGCTTCTTTTATCGCTACCGAGTGATTGTGCTACTAACTCCTTGTACTAAACTGTTTTATTGCTGGCTACCTTTTGAACTCTTTATCTCAAACTATGTACTTTCCTGATTGATATACTCACTTTTTGAGGTATGGACATCATGACTGTTGCTTTTGTTTTAGGTTTCTAGTCACTATACCTTAAGCCAATGGTTTTCATCATATGATCTGTTAGAAAATTCTCATTCATGGGTAACTTTTAATTAAGTAGGATGTTCCAAGAGCTGGAGTAAAAGAAAATTTATTTAAGTGGACAAGTGCTTAGTTAATGTTCATTTTCACTCATTTGATTAGGTAGCCACTAACTGGTCATTTTTGTGTTGTAAACTGTAAGATGTGTCCATATTATTGTTTCTTGCATTGTTTTGGTGGCATTTCGAGTTGCTTTTTAGGTTATTTCTAGGTGGAGAAGTGGGATGTCATGGCATATAGGTCAATATTAAGCTGTGTTGGGCCAAGCCATGCCATAAGCAATACCAATTTTGGAATCTTGTTCTTTGAGCTAGAATTTTTGGTTGGTTACCCTGCCAATTTTAATAAATATAAAACAAAAGGGGAAGATGGAGTAAAGTAAGAAAACAAAAATTTAATTGTAAATTACCCAATAAGAAAATAACAGAAAAGAGAGAGAAGAGAAAAATAGTTAGGTTTCGAGTCACTATACCTTAGGCCAATGGTTTTCATCATATGATCTGTTAGAAAATTCTCATTCATGGGCAACTTTTAATTAAGTAGGATGTTCCAAGAGCTGGAGTAAAAGAAAATTTATTTAAGTGAAGCACATTGAATCTGAGGGTAATGTCGATTCCCTCATTAGCTTTGTACAGGCTGGAAACTTGAAGGGGAAAATAACCAGGTACAGTTGAAAATATAAATGCTGAATTTTTTTTCCTTATTGTCATAAATGTATCAACTTGTGTCTTGTATTTAGCCTATCATTTTTGTGCATTAGTGTTTCTCTTAATTCTAGAGTTTCCATATAAAATGAGCCTTCACTAGCCTTCACTGGATTGTTCTTTGAGGAAAACGGCCCCATTAAGCTTGTAGTGGACAAGTATAACATAAGTGGTGACTGGTTGCCATGTGTCAAAATATTAGTTGTTGGACTTCGATGACTGGAAGGATAAGTTTGTGGTATCATGTAGAGGAGTATGTTCCAGGTATCTCAATTGTATGAGGTCTCTTGTCCATTAAGCTAGTAATGTCATCAATTAGCACTAGGTGTATTGTGGTTTAGACCATATAGCATCAATGGTGCCTGTTCCTTAAACTGTGATTCCTACTATTTTCATAAATTCAAGCCATTGCAAGAGACCTGAACCCCAAGCTTTAGAGCTTGTTGGAGCAATAATTGTGCCTTCAAGCTGAAAAGTGAAAATACATGATTGATATGCCTCAGAAACCATACTAGTTTTAGAGTCACATTTTTAGGGATTTCTAAACAGCTCTAAACCAGACTAATGGGCTTTTGGGGATTATTTTTTAATAAGGAGTCAGTCCTAGTCCTGGTAATGGTAGCTAAACTTTGATTGCCTAATCATTTTAATGTTTTTGATAAAAATTTGTGTTATCCCTTTGGTTGGTTGTAGGTCAACCGCATTCTTCAAGATGTTCAATTTAAAGACCAGAAGCAGTTTAAGCAGTTTGTTTCCCAAAGCAAGGCTAGAATGGAGGTATATTTTTTGCAGTCTTTGAACAAATTGTCATCAAAAGTGAACTTTATTAATTATTAATTAATTTATTCCGTGAGTTGTTTTATTTTCAGGAGTGATTAAGAGGCAGTGGTGATGATATTGCTGCCGCAAGGATGGGTGCAAAGTTAAATGTTGCAGGGTGGATTTCTAAACAAATGGGTGGCGTTAGGTTAGCTATCTGGACTGTTATCTATTGATTTAAATTGCTTGTTTTCACAATACAGTCGTGCAACCACCTTAAGTCTCAAGTCTGCAGTTAAATTCTGTTTTGGTTTTTGTTGTTTTTAGATTAGTTTAATTGTTTTGGTTATTATGCTAAACCCCACTATGCATTTCAATGCATTGTAGTGCTTAGTTTTGGAAAACTCTTGTATCTGTAATTGAAGAGTGACTGAAAGAAAAGTTATGTCATCCTTCATTCTTAATAAGATTAAGTTTTTAATGCTTTACCTTATTCTTTCTGTTGAGAATGTAGACAAATATGTTTTGGAATTCGAAGGTGTTCACAGTTTGACACCTTGTATCTATTTCGGCACTTGTATCTGTATCCACAAATTATAGGCTAACAGTTCTTTTTTTCAGGATTCAAGTCATCTGTTTTACTGTGGCAAAACTTCATTTGTTTATAATTTTTATGACCTTGCTATAGTTGATTTTCAGGTTCAAGCCGTCGCATGGAATCATCATGTGCCACAAGTTCTACTTAGTGGATCCTTTGATCATACAGTAGTCATGGTAATGGAAATGTTTTATCGGGTCTGTTTATTAATTATAAACTTCAAAATTATTGTTTTCCTGCATTTTGCTTCTTTTTTTC